GCCAGCTATGCTGGCTGGGGAATTCTGGGAGTTGAAGTCCACTCATCTTAAAGTGGCCAAGTTTGGACAACACTGTGTTAAGGTAAAGGCCACCTTGAGTCAAATGACATTCTTAGTGAACATACCCAGGCTGTTTCTTTGGTTGCACTGCAGGAATTCCCATCTTCCAAGATGCCTTTCAATTTCCTAGTCTAGCTACTGGCTACTCCAGCTAATTCCATCAAGGGCAACCCAGTTGGGGAACTTTGCTTTGTACCTTTTGAGAGAAGCTTCTTGGAAAGAAAACGTGACTCTGCTGATACTGCTGGTGGTCACAAATAATGTTCTTGGATCAGATCCTATAGCTAACTGACAAGGGCTTATCTTAAAACTGGGATTGCCACAAGTGGCCCCAAAAAATCCAGACCTCCACAGATGGCAACAAACAGCTGATTTTTTGGTGGATCTCTGGAATTTGAATTTTTAAAACCCTGATATGATAGCCTTACTCAAAACAACATTATGGGTTCCATCTCTGAATTCATAGGGTCATGAATTGTGTATCTCCTAAGGGAGAAGAACAGTGTGTGTGTATACATCTAGAAAGTTCCTGTCCCTTTTCCCACCTTCTGACACTCACCTTCAGGTGTATAGAGCAAGGCATGGGCCAGAACTTTCAACTGGTACAGTCCTTTCTACTTCAGAAATTCATCTAACAGTTCCTTAAGGTCCAGGAAGCCATACCCAGATATATGTGATTCATTGAGATGAATTTTCTCCCAGGCACCTTCTTTAAGAATATTTCTGTGTTCCCTCCTTCAAAATCCATTCCAAACAGGAAGTCATTCCGTATGGTTGACACAGCTACCTTTCAAACAGAGTTTTTGGAGAAACAATTAACAGGCCAGAGGGAAAAAATGCTATCATGTCATATTTAAGACTCATAAATAAGTCTTTATTTGACATCCACTTTCTAGGAACCAACCAGCACAATTTTACTTTTCCTTTTTTTCCCCTACGGAACCATCATTTACATAATTCTACCTAAATATCTATTGCCGGTGCTGAATTAGGTACAGAAGCAACAATGGCTTAGAATAACTGTCCTCCCTGCCCCCCCTCCCCCCCGCCACCACTCCCA